GGTAGCTCACGCGGATCGGCTTTGTACCCAACCATGGGTCCAGCCAGAATTGGGTCCCGGTTATTTTCTTTTTACCTTATTTTGTTTCCCTTTTTGTTTTCCGTAAATTGAAATATTCAAAAAATGATTGAAATTTAATTTTCTTCACATATTCGAAAATTGTTCATGTTTTTCAAATGTATTCGTGTTTCGAAAGAAGTTTAGGATTCCAAATTCCAATTTGTTCATTTTCCAAAAAAATATTCATGTTAAAAATAGTTCATCGTACATTGGGAAAATGTTCATCGGGTGTACAAATTTTATTCAACGTGCATTTAAAAAAATCAGCATATATTTTCAAGAAAGTTTAGTTTTGTATTTGAAAAAATTCACCATATACTAAGAAAATGTTCAGTGTGTATTTTAAATTCACTTTTTAAAAAATTGTTCACATTTAAGAAAAGAATATTTGATTTAAGAAAATATTCGACTTTAAAAAAAACCCAAATCTGCAGCTCTAATTAGTACTTTAAGGTTAGCGCTGCCTTTCAGCTGTCATCAGTCACTAGGTCGTCTGGTTAGAGCATCTCCAGCCATTAGGCCCCCCAGGGCACCGAAAAAGAGCGGCCTGGGGGTGCGCCGGCGATAAACTCGGCGCTGGGGCGGTTCGGCACCCAGCCATCACCCCCTAGGTCACCCCCAGGCGCCGATTTTCCGCCCAGTGTTCGGCCCAATTATGTCCAAAAACGGCTGATATCTGCGTGAATCGGCTCATATTTGGCGTGTTTCGGCGTGAATTTTCACATACAAATAGAAATCAATTAGTTCGTCACATAGTTCGGCATGGTTCGGCGTGTTTCGGCGTATTTCATCACATAAATTAAATAGTTCAACAAATGGTTCAATACAAATTATATAGTTTAACAAATAAAAACTCAAGTTTTATCACACGTCATTCCCGGCCTCGCACTTGAGCCTCCATAGGTGCTCCACCAGATCGTGTTGCAGTTCTTGATGCACCTGTGGGTCTCGGATCTCCTGACGCATATTTTGAGATAGTCACTCCAGTTTGCCGGTATCTGGTGATCAACTTGGGCAAGAGGACCCTGCTTGTAATATGGTTCAGTGCCAAACACTGGCTCTTCCTGCTCGCTCTTAATGATCATGTTGTGCAAGATGACACAGCAAGTCATGATCTCCCACATTTGATCTTTCGACCAGGTCTGAGCAGGGAACCGGACAACAGCAAATTAAGATTGGAGCACACCAAATGCCTGCTCGACATCCTTCCTGCAAGCCTCCTGAATCTTCGCAAATTAGGCATTCTTGCCTCCTGGCACAGGGTTTGAGATGGTCTTCACAAATGTCGACCATCTCGGATAGATGCCATCAGCTAGATAGTACCCCTTGTTGTACTGCCGTCCATTGACCTCGAAGTTCACCGAAGGAGAATGACCTTCAACAAGCTTGGCAAAGACTGGGGAACACTGCAAGACGTTGATGTCATTGTGAGTTCCTGGCATCCCAAAAAAAGAGTGCCAAATCCAGAGGTCCTGTGTGGCCACTGCCTCAAGCACCACACTGCAACCGCCTTTGGCACCTTTGTACAAACCCAGCCAAGCAAATGGACAGTTCTTCTATTTTCAATGCATGCAGTCGATGCTACCAAGCATCCCAAGAAATCCTCTTGCTTCATTCTGTGCTAGAATCCGAGCAGTGTCTTCCGCATTGGGTGTTCGCAAGTATTGCGGTCCAAACACTGCCACCACTGCCCTGCAGAATTTGTAGAAACACTCAATGGTGGTGGACTCGGCCATGCGCCCATAGTCATCGAGTGAATCACCGGGAGCTCCGTATGCAAGCATCCTCATAGCTGTCATGTACTTCTGGATCGAGGTAAATCCAAGTGTGCCGGTGCAATCCATTTTGCACTTGAAGTAGCTGTCGAACTCCCGCATGGAATTCACAATCTGGAGGAAAAGCATTCGGCTCATCCGATAGCGGCGCCGAAATGTTTTCTCACCGTGCAATGGAGCATCGCCGAAGTAGTCCGAGTAGAGCACGTAGTAGCCTTCCAGAGGATGACGGTTCTTTGCTTTCACCCGTCCAAGCGCCGAGCCACCTCGCCGCGGCTTTTCACTGCTCGCGAGTAGGCCGGCGAGCACCATGAGATGCTCCTGCTCCTAGACGCCGGCTTCGGCTTCCTCCTCCAGCAACGACGCGAGCGCCTCCTCATCTTCGGAGTCCATCGCCGGGCCGGGCAATTCACCGAACACATTGCGCCCGAGGTGGGCGCAAGCCTGCCGGCGTACAGGCCAGCGCGGCCGGAACGCCGGAAAAGGTGCCCGGACGGCGGCGAAGAGGCTCCCTCAGCGAAACCCCTTCTCTTTCCCAGCGGGAGGTGGTCTACCTAGCTGCGGTGGGCGGTGGACGGCGCCGGGATCGGCAGGGTGGCGCAGGGGTGGCGGCCGAGCGCGGGGGTAGGAGGCGAATCTGGACGGGTGGCTTGACTTTCCGCCTGCCAATGTGGCCCCAGAAATGCTTTTCCCTTGCGCCAGAGCCCCCGAGCGCCCCCAGTGCGCCGGGTTCGGCCTGCGATCGCCGGGCGCAAAAACAAACCGAGCCATCGGAATTTGGTGTCCTGGGGGCGCGACTGGACCGTTTTTTTGGCGCGGGTGCAAAAAAATCATCTGGGGAGGCCGTTCTGAGGGCGCGGCCGGAGATGCTCTTAGCATCGGTTGCATGCATGGCTAGGCTGTGGGTTCGATACCTGTTAAAGACGTGTATTAATACGTATACATCAGACTACCGTATAATTTATGAAAAGTCTATATTGCCCTTTATACCCTTTGTGAAGGGGAGGGGGGTCCTACCAAAGCGGGTCTCATAAAAGAATACACAAACAAAAAGAGGCCAGGTTCAGACTTGCTCAATTCACACCTGAAGATTCATCAGACGGAAATGTGGTGCCACAGAGCGATTCATCACTACACTGAGGGTGTGTTCAGAAGTGGATTAAGAAGAGCTAGTCAACTGCGCCACCATCCTTTGTTTGCTTAGCAGCAAAAAGCACTGCTCTTATTACCCTCGTCTACGGTAGCTGTATTTATTTCCTCAGTTCACTGGAGTAGCAAGATGTACAGCCTCCTCGCCGTCGCCGGCAGGTTCGTCCGCGAGAAGGTCGACCAACCGGTGCAGCGGGCCGGGTCAGCTCATCATCTGCAATTCTGCATCTTACATATAGTACATGGCTTGATCCAAAGCTACTGTCTGAAACCAGTTACTGCATCTTGTTGCACTTGCTTGACAGTATCATGCTGTCATGCATGTTTTTGTGGACATACAGATGAATGCAGTCGACCCATCTCAGTTCAGGGAGCCCCCTGACCGACCTTTTCGAGATCGGTGGCACCAACGGCATGCGATGTCAGGATCACTGAGGAGTACAACAACCGGGCATCGTCGGCGACCTCTTGATCGGGGTGCTCAGTCTGCCTCCAGCTGTGATTTAAACCACGCATCATCTCTGAAACCAAATGTCCCCTATAGACATGAATTCTCAATTTCTGCTCATCCTTTTCTTTTTTCTTCTTCGTCTGCTATAATCCGAACTTCTTTTGCTGTTTCGGTTGTCTATCTGTAAACATTCTGAATTTCTACTCGTTTTTTATAATCTGTAGCTCATTCTTTTTTGTCAGACTGAATTCCAAAATGTTTACAGATCTAAGAGCTTAAACCTCTCTGCTCAGTCTGATGTTAACATTGTGAGGATACTGTTATAGTCGGCAGCTCACTGTTGTTTCCCCTGATCTTTAGCTAAACGGCTGTTAATTTTCGGTGATGCTGAATGTTCCTGAACTTTTGGTCATGTTGATGGTGGTTTTCAGGATTTCCAGATCGGGGAGAAGGTGAGGAGCTTGTTCGATTGCTGGCACGTGTTCCACATGCCGTGCATCCACGACTGGATGATCAAGCAGGGGTCATGCTCACTCTGCAGGATGAAGTTCTAGATCATAATCTTATTCGTCCTCGACAACGACCGGCGATGTTGAGGAACTACTCTGCGACTAGAAAGGAGGCTCTGCTAGCTGTGTGTGTGTGATATGCCTGTTTTGCTGTTGCTAGGAGGAACTTCCCTTCCTTCAGGTGGATGTGCTATACTCCTACTACCTACTACTACTGAAAACTGAAGAAAAAGAGACTGGACAGGCTCGCGCTTTGTTCGCCGGACTGATGAACTCACCTCATAATGTAATATATTGAACTACTATACTACGGTATCTTGCATGCAAGCGCTTCAAAATTATTGATTTGCTTGAAGATCAGTTACTACCGCGAAATTCATGATGACCATTATATCATGAAAATTTGAAGTGGTCAACGACGGGCGCAATGTGTACCGAAGTTCCTAACCTCACTTCACAACAGTATTTCTTTCTTTTTTTTTGCGGGGTGAATCAACAGCTTCGAACATGTATGATGGTCAATGCACAAACCAGAATAGTAGTAACCCTGTTATACGTGGTAGACACAATATAGACTGCAAATGGTAGTACTGTCATACAAGTCCATGGATAAAATGAGGTTTACTGTGACATGATTTTTGGAACTGACAGTGCCGACGGCAGCACATCGCGGTGCTACTTGGAAAAAAAGAAAAGAAAAAGAAACTACGATACGACTGTAGGTAAGCAGAGGTGGAAAATACAAGTACTTATTGTTCAAATAAGATCTCTTTCTGGGGATAAAATGACAAGACAATAGTGTTGGGAACGCCTTCTGATTGCTTGTCTAGCAGTTCCTGTGTGCGTCATTCAACAGAATAGCTCTACTCCAAGTGGACTGGGAGGATCCTGCAAAGAAGCATCAGATTTAAAATACCGCCAGCTTGTCTATTTGAGAGAAAAAAAGACGAACGGTTACAGGGTTCCAGCAGTACAGGCATGTTTTCAGATCACAAACCTGCGTGACAACTTCCATATTGTGGATGGCATGTTTCCCGTGTTTCTGTTTATTGCTCTCTAGTCTTTACGGATGGCATATTTCCATGTCTTGGGTTTCAGAAGCACAGGCTTATCTGCAAAGATTAATAATGTAAAAACTCGCACTCAGAGGAACATCAATAAATTAAGAAATGGCGAACTTAGGTTAAAGGAACATTTAATTTGCTCCAGTTTTCTGCCGTACTATACTACTAGTGATGTTGTTATCATTTTCTAACTAGCTAGCACATTTAATTTTTTCGAAAAGGGGGAATACCCCAGCTAGCACATTTAATACTCACTAGAAAGGAGTACTCGTAATAGAGGAGGTAATTGCTGCATGCTTACTTCCATAATGATGGGCATCTATTCTTTCCCACTCGAGGCTGCCCAGTCGTTGCTGCAGGCTTGCAGGGAGCGTTTTCAGACCAGGGCAGTCGTCAATGTCAAGACATCGGAGAGATGAGTATGCTTGAGCATCCGGTAGGGATGATAGGGTATTGCATTCATAAAGCTGAAGGCTCTCCAGCCATGAGAGCACTCCTGAGGGAGCTTCCAGAGACGTCAACCCATCACAATAAGAAATTGCTATTCGCTTGAGGGACGGGGGAAGATGGAGGAGCCCTGTTAAGCCAGCACACCTGCGTAAATTTACTTGTAAATGCTTCGGCCCCGCTCTGGGTGATGATGATGATGACACCTCCAGTACACTAGATGACCCTTGATGAATCCATGGTGCTAACTGACCCTGCTGCAGCCTCCTGCCGAATGGGGACTCAAGCTTACTGCAACAACAAATTTCAATATACCTGAGAGATGCAGAGATGTTGAAGACCTCAACCAAGCTGTTGCAATCAGATATATACATATACTCTAGACATGGCAGGAGCTGACTCGTTTCTGCTGATGTTGATGGCTCGGCAGGTGCATATCCAGTCAGATTACTGCAATACTTGATCTCAAGCCTCTTCAAGGATACCAATGCTTGGAACTCTCTTTCTGGCCAGTGAACGAGCGCATCACATGACATAATTGATAAATCTTGAAGGTGTACGAAACATGCAAACATCCCTGGTAGAACTGATTTAAAGTGACATAATTTCAAAACTGCAAGAGGGAGATCATGACCATTCCATTCTTCCTTACCGTCCACCACTTCCTTAAAACCATCCTCAGCCGCCGCCAGGGTTGTTTCTGTATTGTCCTTACGGCAAAACAGTGTCAGCTCGGCCAATGAAGTCATATGTCTAGCTACCCATAGCAACAACTGGTCCTCACGTCCTGCGATGAGTAATAAACTGAGCTTTGGTGATTTAGCTACAGTTGTCAACCTTGGACAATCCAGAATAATGGCCTCCTGGAGGTTAGGGAAGGTCGGTTGTCCTGGCAGTGCTGTCAACTTTTTACAGTCCTCAATAAGCAACTTCTCAAGCAGAGGAAACATGATCTCTTCTTGCATCCCACCATTACCTATTTCCCACCATCTCTCCAAACAGACAAGACCTTCCAATGTAAGATGCTTTAGTTTTGGAAATGCGAAGGTTGTATCACAGTCATGGCTGAACAACCATTGTAGTTTTCTACAATCAAAAAGATGGATCTCAACAATGTTTTGTAACATAGCCACCCATGTTGGGAACGTGGTGGATCCATAGAAGTGTATTCTTATAGCATGCAACCCATCATGAGGTTTGAGATTCTCGAGCACTCTTGAATCATCTTCAGTCTCTCCAGCAGACCATCTTAATGTCAGATCTCTTAGTTCCTTGTTCACGAGGTTTGCCACTGCTGCATCTTTTGCTGTGACGTTCTCTAGATTCTGTAGCTCTAGTTGACCACCAAGGTTTAATTTTCCAAGCTCTCCAACATTACTATAATCAGGCTCACTGCCTGCTACAAAGCATGTAAGTGTCTGTAGGCATGTGAGCTTTCCGAGCTCTCTAGGCATGCTCTTCAGCTGTGAGCAACCATGAGTGTAAAGGTGACGGAGCGTAGTCATATACTTCAGTTGTCTTGGAAGTCCACCAAGATATATGCAACCAGAGAGGTTCAGAGTTTGCAGGTTGTACATAATGCTTATATCATCGGGAAGTGCTTTGATACAACTTCTTGAGAAAGATCATGTATATGTCATGCATAAGATCATGTATATTACATGTAATCCTAGAATAACATGCACCGTCCTGTTTAATTTCATAGCTTGTGGCTTGGACTTGTTTGACATCTTGAAAGAACGACCTTGAGGCCAGCTCATTGAAAATTTGTTTCCCAATGGTTTCAAGACGAACTTGTTTGTCTTCGATGATAAAGCCATGTGCAATCCATAGTTGGATCAGTTTTTCCACATCAATCTTGTAATCTTTAGGAAATATAGCACAAAACGCAAAGCATTGCTTCATACGTGGTGTCAAGTCGTTGTAAAACTGAGCTTGAGTATTGGTAAGATTCCAGTCTCATCAGTGCAAATACTGGTTTTACTTAATACCTCCCATTCTTATTTACTGGTCTTGTTGCGCAGTACTGAGCTCAGTGCCATTGCAGCTAAAGGAGAGCCAACACATCTCTTCACAATCTCATCAACCATATTCATCAACGCATTGGGTATATCTTCTTTCCTCTGAAAATAACCGAATGCTTTTGTCTCGATAATTTCCTTTATGAATTTATCATCCAAAGGTACGAGATTATAAGCTTTAACAGTGCCGAATATGTCAGCCACTCCTTTATCACGGGTTGTTGTCAAGACCACACTACCACTACCACCATGTTTAAGGCGGTCCTTGAGCTCTTCCCATTTATCAACCTCTCGTGTCCAGACATCATCCAATACAAGAAGGTACCTTTGTCCACTCACTAAATTCTGAAGGATATCTAGTGGTGTCTTCTTGGAGGCAGTTGCTGCTTTTGTACCAGCTGCTTCTTCACCATCATCCTTCTTCGGGGGAGCTGCTTCGACTATACTTTTAGCCAATGAATCCACATCAAAGATGTCAGAGACACACACCCATAGCAGCAAATTGAAATGCTTCTGAATAGCAGATTCATTGTAAACGAGTTGTGCTAATGTGGTCTTACCCAAACCCCCTATTCCAACAATGGGAACAACTGTGAGATCTACATTGTTAGCTTGCCCAACTAGTGTATCAACAATTTCCTTACTATCCTTTTCTCTTGATTTGCGGATCATTTCCTTTGGATCGAAGATATCATGACCTGTCTGCCGCCACTGCTTGGATACCAACGGTTGTTGCTGATGTTTAAAGCCAAAGTCATTCATTTCAGCCACAAGGACCTTAACAGCCTGCACAATCTTGTGGAGCTTTCTTCCCATCCTGTTACGGAATATGAAACGGTTGTGTGTGGGAAAGAGTTTTACCACACTGAAGCCAAGGTCATTGTAGTGCCCCTCCTTTTTGGCCTTACGACGAAGCGCCTCGTACTTGAACTCGTCGAAGACTTCATTTGCCTGGTAAGCCACCTTCTTGATGGCCTGGAGCCAGGCAGCTGCCCCTTCTCTGTGTCCTGCTTCCTGCTCGGCGTCAGTGATGATGTCCAGGATGGCAGGCAGTTTGCGCATCAGGATCTCATGTTGCTCCTCCGTGCCCTTCAACACCTTGTACTTGTCAAGGAGGTAGCTGGACGCCTTCCCCATCACGATTTTGAGCAGTGGTCTGACCACCATGGTGGCCACCACCTCCGCCATCGGAACACCAGGGACTTGCAAGAACTCAGGGAAGCAGAAGTGAGGTGGAGAAGAAAATGGTCTAAGCAAGACGCGCTTGCTTGATTGTGTGCGAAGTGGAAGCAAATGATACTATCGATAGAGGTACATGTGCATCCACTGCCACAACATAAAAAAAAGAGCGCTGCATGCGCACTTGATGGTTGTACCACTTAATAGAAATAACACGACTTTATCTGCATGTGCACTTTCACACAGCTTTATCTGCATGTTTTATGGCTTTTCTCGATCTGCACGTTCCTGGAAAGAGGTATACACCACGCCCCCACCCACTGGAGCATTGCGTTTCTTTTATTACAATACATTTTCCGTGGGCTCCTTTTTTTTTCGAGAGTACACCACGGCGTACGATACTTTTATAGAAGGCAGAAAACAATTACAAAAGACTACCTTTCACTGAAACAGCAAGTGTAGGACGCATCTGGGCCAATCAAAAGATTAGCCACCACACATATTACAACGCAACGCAAGGAACCTGCCCTAAGCAGAACAACAAAGCCACGTCTTGGCCAACACCGGTCACCTTAAAGAACAACAACTGCAACTAGACCTCCCTTGCCAACGCACCAACCACCCATGAATGCCTAATAGGAGATGGCGAGTGGGTGGCGGGACTTGGTTAGTCCAGAAAAAGCCATCGCCTTAGATTCTCCAGTAGCAACGTACATTGCACCGATGAAGATCCACTTGGACCAGCAGAAAGCACCAAAGAGCCGTAACACAGAACCTCCAAGACGTGTCTCCTCACACGATGCTCCCAAAAGAGGAGAACGACACCGATACGCCGCCATCGCCAGTCCGGAAACGAACCAAGGCTTTCGACCGGAGACATCAACCCAAAGCGAGAGAGAGGAGCGATGCCGACACACCTCCGCGACACCTCCAAAGAGGAGAACGACACCCACAGGCTCCATAGCCGCCAGCAGCGACCAAAGATGGGCAGGATTTTCATCCGTAATGTCACGCACCTCCATCCCTGCCCACCGGATTGTGGCCACATGTAGAGGCACTCCGCCGCCGTCACAACACCTTGCCATTGAGATCATAATGTGGTGGAACACCGACAACCGGCACAGCCGAAGGCACGCAGCCCTACTTCCTCCACCCGCACAGCCAAGAAGCCATAGCTCTGGACTAACCTTCACTATCAGCACGGCTAGAGACCAACGCACCTCCTGCAGCAACCAAAGCTCCAACTACTGCTGCATTGACATGAGTGGCATGGTTTTTGTTTCAGAAGAAAAAGCTACAACAAAAATACCAATGGATATATACCGAAATGTTACTATCTTGATATATGTTGCCATCTTGCATCACTATCCATCTAAGAAAGATTAGTGCGCAGCAGTGTGATGCTTTACCAACTTACTTAACAATATTACGGAAGGGGCGACGTGAGTAATGTACTGTTTGCGCTTGTGCTAATGAGGCCAGTTGGCTACCTGTAAGATAACCATTTTTTCATGTTCATTACCAACGCCAACGGCAGTACATTACTAACGTGCAATAATGTGATACTTTCGGCTCACCAACTTGATAAACAATACTGTGGAAGGGAAAGAAACTGACAATTTTGTCCGTAGTTGTGCCTAAAGCAGCCGGTTGGCTTACCTATAAGATAAGCATTTTTACCTGTCCAGTGCAAATGCTAATGCCAGACGATAAGACGAGACTCCATGTATGACCAACCACACTTGATTGATTCCAGCACAAATAATGGTAATGCTCACAGCACTACATAGTAGTTAAAAAAAAAGAGAGGAGATTTTAATATGGGGAATGAACATTCTTCTGTTTCAGTTTTTCCTAGTACGCGATGCAGATGAGCAGTATGGGACCAAGAGGTTTCAGAGTACTGTACCGGCCCGCCGGGAGCTCTTGGTCACTCCGCGACGAGAAGCAGAGAGGAAGGAGGACGGTGGCACCGGGACGGCCACCGATGTGGCCTGGCCTTGAGGAGGTTCTCCCCCCCTCCCCTCTCCGCCGCATCCTCTCCTTAAACCTCCGCCGCCAACCCTGAAAGATCCCAGCGCGACTGCTCAATCCTGCGCCGCTAGACGTTCACTCAAAATCCCGGGTGAAAAGAACGGAATCCCTTCAAGGATGCACGGCGGAGGAGGATTCCAGCCGTGTAATTATCCTCCCTTTCATTTCTCCTGTTACTTTATGGCATGAGCAAAAAGAAGAAGCGTGCCCAGACAGGTCCTTCCCATGGCGAGGGGGCGGTCTCGGATGTTCGTCCCATCCTTCCCGAACCGGAGCAGGCGGCTCCAGTGTTGCCTCTGACTCGGGGCGGACGGTCCAGATCTCGTGAGGAGACGATGTGTATCAACTGTGGATGCACGGGGCACTTCCGTTCTGAGTGCCCGGCACCCTCCCGTTGCCCCACGACCCTAGCTTACTTGGGGTATGGATCTGAGGGATGTGGTTTCTACTACGTCGATGCGGAGCTGGACGAGGAGCCCATCAGGCTGCACTTGGCGACGGTCTCGCTGGTTCCTGGTCAGTCCCTGCCGCCATCGGTCGGGGTTACCGCGGACCTTATCCGCGACGAGCTGGCGGCCTACATCGGTGACTATCGTGACAGCGACTTCTCTTGGGTAGTCACCGAGACGGCACCGTTGGTCTTCTCGGTACCGTTCCCTTCGGCGGAGCTTCTTTGCGTCTGCACCCACGACAACATCAAGTGCCCAATCAACAAGTTCCTCATCTCCGTCAAGGAGGCCGTCGCCAAACCGGACTCAGTTCCTCCGCTCACCCCGGTTTGGGTGTTGGTGTATGGGCTTCCAAGGGAAGCAGGCTCTCCCCTGGTGGGGGCAAGAGTGAGCATATTCTCAAGGCCATCTCAGAGCCGGTAGGCAAGCTTCTCTCTGTGGATCCCGCGTCTCTGGATGGGGATGGCCCGGCCCGGATCGAGGTTCTATGTCCGATGCCGGCCGAGGTGGATGGCCTGTCCTTGATCTTCTACTTCGGCAAGAAGAGCCGGCGTCTCACGTACGAGGTTGATCTGGAGGAGCTCGAGAGCCGGACGGGCGTGGTCCAGCCTACCCCGCCTCCGGCCCCCTCCGGCGACCGATACGACGGAGGCGGGGAGGGCTCTGAGGGGTCGGAGGAGGAGGAGGAGGATGACACCCCCCGGAGCAGGTTCCTCCTCGGCTCAGTCCGGCTCGGGTGGGTGGGGCGAGGGCAGGCCCCCCCAGGGCTGCCGCTCTCGCTCTGTCTACGGCCGGGATGGCCTCGCAGCCCCTCTCAAGGGGGAGGCCCACGTCCCCGGCATCCTCGCCGGTCTTGGAGCACGAGGAGGATTCTAGCAGCGTGGGGATGGATGTGTGCCCGTCGTCATCCCCGCGCTCTCCCGGGGTGGTGTGGTACTCTCGCTCGCCTGGGACTCCACCATCGCCAGCTGTGGGGTCCCCGGCCTTGGTTCCAGCTACACCACTGCCACCTCGCTTGGGGGTGGGCCAGGCTGCTTCGCCACCTCCGTTGTGGGGTTGGACACGGTCAACATCGTCTCTCCCGTGCACAGCCCCGTCGCTCGGGTGATGCACTCTCCGGTTGTGGCGTCTAGGCAGAGCGCCCGTCTCTGCCAGTCCCGGACCCTTCCGAATGGGCGGGTCCCGACGATCGCTGAGATGGCGGCCATGCGCGTGGCGACACGCGACCTCTCTCCAGGTACGACACCTCCCCATCCCTCTGGTGCCTCTTATTCCGGTTCTCGATTTGTCGTGCTTGACTCAGTGCCGATGGCACACCTTGGCGACGTTGCTTCGGATTGTGATATTGTTTTTCGGGGTGAAAAGGGTCCCCGACTCGAGCAGATCTCGGCCATCTGTGCCAAAGAGCGGCTCGATGGGGCCCTTGCTGAGGCCTGGGCCCGTGCTGAACAACGGGTCGCGGATGCCTCGGCCCTGCCTGGCTCCGGGCATAGAGAGCCTGGAGCTAGATCAGGCCCGAGCTGGCCTCCCTCCCGGCCTGACGCTGTGAGGGACCCTCCATTAGGGAGGGCCTTGCGGGGACGGCCTCCTACGCGACTCCATCCCTCTGAACAGGCGATGGAGGTTCGCGGTGTTTCTGCAGACATGGCAGGTCAGACCCCCGCTAAGAAGGGGCGTCATGGCCGTCCGTTGAAGCAATTGCCAAACCCCGCCCTAGGCGGGAGGGCTAGTTCAGCCCCACCTGAGGGGCCTAGTGATCCCGGCAAGGTTCCTATATGAAGCTCCTATGCTAGAATATTAGGGGCTTCGGCGACCTAGGCCGCCGACGCCAGATGATTGACTACATCCGACAGGAAGACATCGATATTGTTGGCCTTCAAGAGATGGTTCGTCAGGACTTCTCCATTCAGGAGCTTCAGGGGCTCTCTCGACACCCTTTTGCCTGGCAATGGCTCCCGGCTTCTGGGCAGTCTGGAGGCATTCTCCTGGGGGTCAGGGAGGACTTCTTCTCGGTGGAGGATATGGACCGCGGGGAGTTCTTCCTGAGTATGGCCATCACCGACCGACGTGTGAACCTCAGCTGGGAGGTGATCATTGTCTATGGCCCGGTTGACCACGGGCGGTCGGTGGGTTTCCTGGCCGAGCTGCAGGATAAGGTTGAACGGTGCACGACCCCAGTGGTGGTGGCGGGCGACTTCAACCTTATCAGAACGGAGGCTGACAAAAGCTCTCCCAACATTGACCGACGGCGTATGCGCATGTTTAACGATGCCATAGCTGCGATGGCCCTCCGTGAGATAGCCCGCGTAGGGGCTAGGTTCACATGGACCAATAAACAGGTGGACCCTATACGAAGCGTGCTAGATCGGGTCCTTGTGTCCGTGCAGTGGGAGGTTATGTTCCCACTGTGCTCCTTACGGGCGGTCACTAGGATTGGCTCCGACCACGCCCCCCCTGCTGTTTGCGTCAGGGGAAGGGTCCCCACCGAGATCTAGACGCTTCTATTTCGAACCATCGTGGCTCCTA